GAATTAACTTCCTCGAGCCAGGGCCGCTCGTGAATCCCCCAACATGCTGCTTATATTTTACTTTAGATCCAAATGGAAGCACACTGGCCGTCCGTCCAGTTTGTATCCTAGACTTGGGCATTGTATCCTCCTGCGCCTTCTTCAGGTCATTCCGGGCTTCACAACTTGTCTGTTGAAGTTGTTGCGGAGATAAATCGTTTCGCGGCCAAATGCCAACATCAAGATCCGCTGGCAGCTTCGGAATTCTTCCGTACATCAGTTGAAATGGTGTATGTTTGGTACTGGCCTGCGTGGTCGAGCGGTAAGCCAAAAGTAGGGAAGGTAGGGCCGACTCCCAATACCCTCCTTTCGCTGCCAGCCATTCTTTGATTGTTTTGTTATTGCTTTCGGTGAGGCCGTTGGTTTGTGGGTGATAGGGCGTTGTGCGTATCTTGTTGATACCTAATTTCTGTAAGCACGAGCGGAATTCATCGCTCTCAAAGCACGGGCTTTGATCTGTCAGGATAGCTTGTGGTACACCATGATACGCCACAATATACTCCATCACAACTCTGCTTATAGTAGCGGCTTTCTGATTTGCGACTCCTACGGCTTCAATCCAGCGCGTGAAGTACTCTGTCATTACAACAACGTTTTGGAGTACTCTAGGGGACATCGGAAATGGACCCATGAGGTCGATGCACCATAACTCACCGATTTCGGATACTGGTATTGACTGAATTGGACATTGTGATGGGTGGGAGTCTGACTTGAACAGTTGGCATTTTTCACACGCCAGCGCCTGGTTTGTTACCTCAGCCTGCATATTTGGCGAATATGTCCACTGTCGAAGCAGATCGTAGGTTCGAGCGCATCCAGTGTGTGCTAGTTCATGACTTTCTTTGATAAGACTTTGGCGCAGCTGTTTCGGAATGACGAACATTGGGCACCTTCTTCCTAGCTTTCTTTTCATGAAGATACCAGCAGCATTCAAATGAAAGTGCTTCCAAACGGATTGTCATGACTTCATGTGTGTACTATGTTAAATGTTTCGGTATTGCCCACCTTGTGAGATTGCTTCAATCATCTTGCGGAGTTCTTGGTCGTTGAGCTGTTGCTTTACCAATTCGTGCGGGTCTTGTCCCGCTGCCAGCATACTGATACTGAAGGAGTTCTCTTCCTCCTGACTAGACAAAATATCCGCCATACAGTTTTCGGTACCTGCAACGTGATTGATTGTGAAGTTGTACTCCCGGAGGCGAAGCGCCGAACTAGTTTTCCTCTCGGGTCCTTGACGGTTTTAATCCACTCCAGCGGCTTATGATCTGTTTCTATATGGAACCTCTGACCCAGAAGGTATGGTCGCCACTTATCTACGGCCCAAAGGATTGCAAAGCATTCTTTTTCCATGGTTGAATACTTCCTTTCCGTTGGAATCAGGACTCTGCTTGCGTATTCAACCACTCTACTTGCTTGTTTGAGTACGGCTCCCACTCCCACGTCACTGGCATCCGTTACCACTGTGAAGCGCTCACCAATCACCGGTAACTTCAGTGTCAGGTGTTGTTCTATCATGATCCTTTGGAGTTCATCGAAGGCTTTCTGGACTTCTGCTTTCCATTTGAAACGATATTCCTTTTTGAGTAAGGCGTGTAACGGTTCCGCGATGTTCGTAGAATTGACGAACCGGCTGTAGTATGCAGCACAGCCCAGAGACCGTATTATTGTTCTTTTCGATGTTGGGCGTGCAAACTCCTTTAACTTGAGGATCTTCTCAGGGAGTGGCCTCACTTCTCCGTTTCCAATTTTGTGTCCAAGTAAAGTCACTGTCGACTTCCCAAATTGGGACTTCGATGCATTGATCCGAAGGCCAGATTTATGGATTCTTTTCAGAATATTTTCCAAGTGGAATGTGTGTTTGGTTGTTGGTTAACTGTAGACGACAACATCGTCACTATACACTACCACGTTGGGGACACCATCGAGTAACTTCAATATGAGGAGGCGGAATGTAAATGGTGCTCCTGATAATCCGAATGGCATTCGTTTGAACTGATATTGTTTATTTCCGACTGTGAACGCCATTTTCTCTCGATCAGCTTCTTTTGTTGGTACTTGCCAATATCCCGATCGTAGATCCACGGCTGAGAACACTTTTGCGCTTTGCAGTTGGTCAAAATTCTCTGCCACAGTCGGAACTGGGACTGGTTTGTTTATAGTCACGGTGTTTACTTGGCGGAAATCCACACAGAACCGAAATTTTCCGTTGGGTTTCTTAACCAGCCGTACGGGAGAGTTATACGGACTCCGAGTTTCTTCAATAATTCCTTCTTCTAACTTCTGTTCAACCTGCCGCTTGACTTTGTCCTTCAAGTGTAGTGGAATTTGGCGTGAAACATGGGCTC